TACAGAATAGAAGGTGGGTAATGATGGTGTTGATTGTATTGTTATCAGTCTGTTATTACTACAGAACAGAAAGTGGGTAATGGTGGTGTTGATTGTATTGCTATCAGTCTGTTATTACTACAGAATAGAAGGTGGGTAATGATGGTGTTGATTGTATTGTTATCAGTCTGTTATTACTACAGAACAGAAAGTGGGTAATGATGGTGTTTATTGTATTGTTGTCACTCTGTTATTAATACAGAACAGAAGGTGGGTAATGATGGTGTTGATTGTATTATTGTTCAGCTATTGTTTCTAAAGAAGGTAGGTAATAATTGTGTTCATTTTATTGTTGTCACTCTGTTATTAATACAGAACAGAAGGTGGGTAATGATGGTTTTGATTGTATTGTTCTCAGTCTGTTATTACTACAGAACAGAAGGTAGGTAATGATGATGTTGATTGTATTGTTGTTAGTCTGTTATTACTACAGAACAGAAGGTGGGTAATGATGGTGTTGATTGTGTTGTTATCAGTCTGTTTTTACCACAGAACAGAAGGTGGGTAATGATGGTGTTGATTTTATTGTTGTCAGTCTATTATTTCTACAGTACAGAACATTGTTACTGATGGTGTTGATTTTATTGTTGTCAGTCTTATTTCTACAGTACAGAACATTGTTAATGATGGTATTGGTTTTATTATTGTCAAGATGTTATTTCTACGAATAACATTTTGTAGCAGAGAATCAGAGAGTTCAGTGATTTATATAACAGAATATGAGGTTTCCATATTTATATGTATGAATCTCTATATGCATGTGTGTGTGTGTGTGTCGACTTTGAAAGTTCTGAGAAGGATATAAACTAGTTGGTAATTCATAAAGAATTATAAAAAATAGTAAATAATTAATGACGATAAACACAGAGGTTTGAATACGGTATATTAAAATGTTTCAATATGAATAAGCAAGTCACTGATAACCACAGCCGATAGTATGGCGGTGGAATGGCGTGTATAAGAACTACGTTTTTTGGCATTACGTCGAAATTGTGATGTTATTGAAAATTGACCACTTTTGGAAATGTAATAACCCATTCAGACGCAAAATATACGTACACTCACATCATAAAAATGTTTTCAAATCGGAGAAGGAAGTCGAGGATATACGCTGTACTTAATCATGTGGGATTTGAAAAGCAAAGGAAAATGGATCAACATAGGGTACTAGGACCACCTTGAAAGAGCAAATCGTACCCCAGCCATGGTAAGCAAAGTGTGGTGTCTTTTCACAGGATAGATTCCACAAACACAAAGGTCAGTGGCAGAAGCCGTCAACGTGCTCCAGTCAACTGCACGCAGCATAATCAAGAAGGATCTCCATCTGGAAAAACGAGACCAACAGGGTATGAATTTACCAAGATTAGGCTTTCAGTCATGTTTCCCGTTCAACCGCCGCATTCGCCAAGCAGCTGAGAAATGAAAAGTATATTCACGCTATTTCACATGAAGTCATACCGGTCTAATCGCCTATGGATTTCTGTGCGAACAATGTTGAAACGGGCGCTGGAAATTCGTCTACCTCGTACACTATGTGGATTGTGGAAAGCAAGTAGGAGTAATGTATGCTTTGGACATAACAGCCTCATGAAGGAGCTTTTTTTATATGAAAATTATGTTGGCTGTCTATTGTTAAGCTGCAGGATCATCAGATAGAGCATGACCGAACGTGGCGACATGGCTTATAACAACGTGATTGGACTCCAAAATCATTTAAATAGAACATACTCAACCTCTGTAGTCAAATTTTACATGAGCATAGAATTATAAAATGAATTTTTTCCTACCCGAGGTAAACACATAAATGGGAAGGTATACCAGATTTGTATCGATAATAACCTTGACTATATATACAATACCTTAACGAAAGACAAAGAAGTGATTTTGTTTCGCGAAATTTAACACATAAGCCGTGATAAACTTTAGCACAGAAGTTTGGTGGCATCTATTTCGTTGTACAAAATAAAATCTTCATGTCAATTAAGTTTTAAGTTAACTCTGCAGACAAATACCAGTGGAAGTAAGTCAACTTCAATAAAGATTCGCTGTATTTATTCTAGAACGAAATGGAAGAGACAAACTGCTGTGGGGTTGGAGTTGCTTGCAGAAGCCGGCAATTATGCAGCTGTCCAAAGGATGGTACAAACAACACCATATTGGCTGTCTAAGTTCACCTCTTCCTCACCACATCCACCTTTAGGGAGCCTGACAAGCCTGGACCTTTACTACAAGCAGTCCGCTGCTGGACTACTCAAGCCTCTTCCTTTCAAGTTGTATCCTCCTTCCATGAGCTGGCTGCCATCACCTAGCAATGTTGTTCCTCTATCTGCGACGTCCCGAGAGACCTCCGAGAAGACCCTACTCAGCCAGCCAGCTCCGTCTAGCTCCTATGCACACTTGAAAGAACTTTCTTGGCCGTCACTGTAGGCAATATTGGTAAATATAACCAGCGGGGAATCAAAGTTGTTAAGTAGAGTTGAATAGTAATATCAGTTGGTGATTTTTATATCGTGAATGTTTCGCTCTTTGGTCTAAGATTAGCAGTGATTTAGATAGTTGAAATTGACAAATATACAAGCCCTTTGCTGTATAGTATTGTACGTGGAATCGTAAAACGATATGTCACATCGAAGAACGTTATAAAGTTAAACTTACCTTAAATCAATAATTAATAACAGTAAATTAATGCAGAAAAAATTATTTAGAGGAGTTTTTCAGTGCAGTAAAAACGTTGGGCTTTAAAAAGTACTGTGATAAAAAAATTAAATCATAATGGCAGGACAATTCAACTTCTCTGAGAAACGCTGCCACAAAAAGCAGTGATAACATATACTTTCCAGATTATGACCAGTTTTGCTGACTCAGTATCCATTTTCGTAAAAGTTCCTGTTTTTTGTGATGTCTAAATACATTGTGTTTGGAATCTGAAAGTGTTTTAAAGATTCAGTTTACAAATTTTGGCTACTGGCTTAGATAAAATGTTAAGTATCCTTTAATATTCAGGCATATTAAAAAACGAGAGAAAGTGGTCTAAAGATACTGACATTACGTATGGATTGAAAACGATTAAAGATTTGATCCACAAAGCGTAAGAGCTTAAAGTACTTGAAGTTTAGTTATTTTCCATGGACTAATAAAAATGGCTGAATATTCAAAGGCAGATTAGCAATAAAAAGTGCATATTGTTTCAAATACATAGACGTAACAAATGGTTCAAAAGGTTTCTGAAGTTATAAAATAGGCCCAAGTCCTAAATGTTGTTGATGTATTAGAAATGTTTTCCAGATTCATATGTAGATAATGAATTAAGAATTGTCTGAAAATTCGGGCATAGCCTGGGTACCAGAGTATAAAAAATAGCCTAAATGATAAAATACAACTAAAGGTTTAAAGAGGTCGAAAATTTAAATTTAATAAAGTAACATGAATATTAAGATTTTTTTTTCAATAATTAATGTAGAACCGGCGCTAAAGGAGGGGGGGGGGGCTTGAGATTTGTTCCTCCCTAAGGTAATGCCGTCCATTAATGTAATTGTTCATATATTTTCGATGTAGCCTCATTATATATACCCTTTTCCACTCCCTCCATTTAAGAAAATCTTGAGCCGGGGCTATTAAGAATCACGTGCAGAACAAGTGTTCCGTAGTTGCCGGACGATTAACAAGGATGACATAGGTTAGAGGGTTGAAAATGGCCTGACGGTTGAAATGTAGTTCATGAATTACAACTGGTTAAGGGAATGTGAAACAATTTTAGGATTAGACATGGCGTAAAGATTCTGATAGCATTAAAATATTCACGAAGTTTTACCAGAACCTCTTATTGAGCGAGAGGTCATTGAGACGACTTACCTTCTTAGCAACATCCAAGGGCAGAGTCACGGTGGTGAGGGGAAGTATAGGAAATCATATAGTTGTGATAAAAATCTTTAGCAGGTTTTGACATGAAGGCTAGGCTATTCGAAGCAACTATAATGTAAAAGATGAAATCTGGATTATGTTGCAGGCCAACCGAAAATTTTAAATTATTTTAGATTTTTAATAGTGATTTGAAAAGAATATTAATAAATAGGACCACTAAATTGAACAAGAAGAAAGAACTGGTATAATTTACAAGACCACTCTGAATTATGCGATAGAAGATTTAGACGAATGCTAATATACTAAAGGTTTTTATAACTGGAAATAGCAAAACGTCTAAACTATTCAGTCAAATTTAAGTTAATAATAAGTTATAAACAATGAAAAAGTTATGTTATATACTGGATACTACGCTATATTGAGTGCACACTTAAATATTTTTATCTCATCTATGCCGTCCGTTTGTTACTTGGATATACACATTTGATTATGTATGCTCTTTAGTATACTATTCTGTGATTAACAGGAATTTGAAGTAAGAAATTGATCACATTGTTCAAACAATGATATCTGGCGGATTCTCGTTAACTGTTATTTTTCTATGTATGATTGTATATATATATAAAATATAATGAGTATATAGTGTTAATGTTCCAGTCGGGATAACTTCAACAATGTCGCTGAGGTTTCTTGGCTATTTCTGTAAATAACTTTGAATGATGTGTAAAATATTTTCTTATTTTTAAAAGATGAATGTTCAGTTATTTGTAAGTCTTCATGTTTTGTTCAGCACTAATTGAACGAGAATATTACAGTTATTACGTAGACCAAACAAATGCAGTTATTTTTGTGAACACAAGTTAACATTAATTTTTTACATGATATCATTTCTTATATTTCTTTTATGTTGTAAAAAGTGAAGCACTGTTAATGGAAATTCAATAAAGAATTGATTTCGCAAGCACTGTTTTTCATGCTGTACGTCAACTGTTCATGTATTTTAGATCTTTACAAACTAATACCTAGAACAAAATATTTACACAAAATTGTTAATACCAATTGTCACGTAGATATAGATATATACAATACAAGTGAATATTGTATGACTTTTTTTAACAATAAATATGAACAAAAATCTTACACTTTCGGTTTTTCAGTTGATAAAATCATAGGCAAAGAAAATAATATAAATAGAAGAAAAATCAAAGAAGCTCTATTTTTTTATTTTTGAAACAAAACCTAGCGTTAACCAGGGTTAGGTGTGAAAACTATATGTATTTTAATTTTCCTTGTTTAACAGTTGTGTTCGATTTATTTGTACTTTGTTGCCTAAGTGATACAGTATCGCTTTTGACACTGCAACGGTTCCAACCTTCGGTTGTATCCACCTGACGATGTTAAGTAAACTCAGCGAAACGTAGTGTTTTTTAAAACTAAAATAAGTTCTTGAAAACAAATTACTTGTTTTATCCATAAAATAAAACTTTAAAAAGTCATATTATCAAGTTCTCAAAACAAGAACAATAAGTTCGACAAGTGTATATTTGTATCCCACACGTAGAGACACCCACCTATAAATATACAAGTTTGTTATAAGCCTTCACACTTTCTGCTGAGCCACTGGAGACAGGTATATAATGAACCACATCGTACCTAAGTTTTTTGACTATATATATGTATCCGTGTATATATATTTAGTAAACACTAAGAGTGTTGTATTGGTTTCGTAATCTAACGCTCACCCTTCAACAGTCTCTATTTAACAGGGAAAGTTCATGTAAGAGGCCCGGCATGGCCAGGTGGTTAGGGCA